AAGTTTTATTTTTCCTCTCTTTTTCTGTGTTTTGCTTGTATGGAGAAATTGCATCATGTCAATGGGTCAAACAAAAATGATATGTGAAATACTATGTTAAAACTCATTTCATTGTATAGTTAAAACTCAAAACTTAATGTGTGCATCTATTATATTATAATTACATGGATACAACCAAATAGTAATATATATGTATAGATATACATGTCTATAGACACACATTAAAGCATATATATTGACTGTTGTAAGTAAACACGTGCAGCGTGACTAAGGTTGTGGTGGTGGAGGATACTAGTGTGATGGGTATATGCTATTAAGGGATCACATTAGAAGGTCATGGAGCTGGGTGTTGGTGGCCTTTGTAGATGTTTGTCGTTGCTTTGAATTATCAATGTTTGCAAAAGTATTGTTGAAACTGATAGCAGTATGCATACAACAACAACAACAACATACCCAGTATATTCTCAACTGGTTGGGGTTTGGGGGTCAGTTGTACGCAGACCTTACCCTTGTAATTATATAAGGAGGCTGTTTCTGTAGCGACCTAAGGTGCACTGCGTCGTTTTATATATTTTTTTTCTAGAAACTTCACTAATAGAGGAAGCACTAGAATTTAATTGAGCCATTTCTATCTAGTCCATTATTAGCGCTATGTCAGGAGAATTGTCAACAATGACTCTTCCAGCTCCATTTGCAATGGACAAAGATAGCAGTATGCATAATGTAGAATTTATAGCGATAAGAAAATGAAAATGGAAATTAAAGAAACTTAGGTGCAGACAATACTTCTGTTATTTTAACATGAACGAGATCTGTGGAGAACGTTGGGTTTGTTGGCATAATCACACTAGTTATGTAGTTCATTTGTCTGCCAAACATTGGTTATCCTGAAAATGAAATAATCCAAAATCATTTCTCTCAACACAACCAAAATCATTTTTTGATTATTCCTGCATCCTTGGAATCATCAGACTAATGACACTGCATCTGAACAAATACAGAGTTACAATTTTTCTGTTCAATATCAGTCACAACACATAGATATGCACATTCAATCTTTGTGCCAATAGGTTCAACTCAAACTGAAAGTTTGCTCTGACACGCATGTATTGCGTTTCGTGTGGAATGTATCTATCTTGCATACTTGATCACCATTCTGAATGTGGTGAATATGTGGTAATGTTTTAGCAGGATTTACGAGCGGCTATGTACTGGTTGAACTTACAGGTGGCAGAATTTGGTTGAGCTTGCAACTGATCATACGAGACTCATACTTGAGATCTCAGTCATGCTTTTGCTGATGTTCCTATTGCTCGGCTAAGTCCTGAAAACAACAGCTGCTGCATGCACGGGCACACTATAGAGATCCATTGGTGTATCGGTGCATGAATTTCATCATCCATGAGGCCGGCGTGTGCACAAATTTAAGTTAGTTGGTAAGAAAAGGACTCTGGTAAATACCCAAAATACGATGCTTGGGCTAGCAAAAACTAATTAATACGAAATGGATCGTGTAACGAAAGAGATTTTACACCATGGTGGAGTTTGATTTGGTCTTATTCCTTCATATTATTGTAATGAAACTTATTTTTATGATAATTATGTATATAAAATAACTCCAACAGCTCCCTTCCATAGGGTTTTTGGAAATCTGATGTACATTTTTTCTATTCTTGCTTTGAAAGAGTACATAAACTTGTTTTCTCATGTACATGGGCGTGTGTATGAATTTTATCACCATTTTTTTTTAGATTGTTCTTATGATGAAAAACAATGTCACTAATGAGAAATGCAGGTTTGTGATATTAAATATTGTTGATGCAATTATTGTATAGAAAAATCAATTTCATATCATTTCATGTTTGTACATCCACTCTTGATTTATGTTCCAATGTGAGAACTAATATTAATACGAAATGCATGTTTGATATATTATTATTATTACAAGAATTATAGAATTACTACTACTACCATCACGACCACCAACAACAACAAAAAAAATAACGAACAACTACAATAATCATAGTTTTAAACTTGGAAATTGACCCTGGCAGGTTTTTAGGTCACCGGATCAATTGTTAAACCAGATAATTAATTTTAAAATTTTCAAAATTATATATATATATTATTTTTTACATATAAATATACATAAAAGTAACAAAAAATAAATGTTTTGTATGTAATTTTTTACATCAAAGTGTTAGAAGAGTTTTATTTCAAAACAAATATTTACTATATCAATATATTTACATAGTTTTATTTTTTATATAAAAACTATTTTAAAAAAATAAAGAAATTTATAGGCACCGGGTCAACCCAGTTGACCCGACCGGGTCAATGACTGGGGTCGGCCGGGTCAAGGCCGGGTTGGCTGGGTTTTGACCGGCTCCATTGTTACCCGATACAAATAGCCCACCCGGACCGGTTCCAGCTCCGAGTCGGCCGGGTCCCGGGTCGACCCGCCGGGCCGATCGGAATTGAAAACAACAACAACAACAACAACAACAACAACAATAATAATAATAATAATAATAATAATAATAATAATAATAATAATAATAATAATAATAATAATAATAATAATAATAATAACAACAACAACAACAACAACAACAACAATGGGCGAGGTTAGAATTGCATGTTTTAAATATATCTATATCTATATAAAAAGAATTACCATTTTTTAAAAATGGCAAGTGAAACTATGGTCAAATATGATTGAGCATTAATTGCATGCTATTAATAGCAAGTTTTTGTTTTATTTTTTTATTTACAAACATGAATCATTAATTATTGCATTTAAATGTGGAGTTTGTTATTTATTTTTGCGCAAGATTAAGTTGTTCTTTTTTCATTTTCATAAATTAAAAAAAAAATCTTTAACATATAATCGTGTACCACATTGTAAATTTTATTTTATTAAAAAAATAAATAACGCCTAATTTAATAATATAAACTTACGTTAGTATTTACAAAAAATTAGAAACTCTTTTAATATCAACTCGGTTACTACAATTGTTTTAATCGGATGCTTTTATTTTAAAAAATAAAAAATAAATTACAGTTCATTTATTTGGTGGATTTGGTTCAATTAATAAATTACAGTTCATTTAAACCCCTAAATGATAAATTGGTGGATTTGGTTCCATTAAGTTCTAAAAATTTCGATCATTGAATATAATTTGAAATTCAAAATCCTTTCTCATATTTGATATAAAAAATTCAATTGTGTTTTTTATTCCAAACAATCAGATTGCCGAAAAAAATACCTTAAAACTTGAATTGAACATTTGAAATTCAAAATTCCTTCTCATTTTAGTTGCCATAAAATTGGGCTTAATTCAAAATCTCTTCCTAATATAAAGGATTTTGTTCAAATTGAATTAAAAAATATCTAATCACATGCTTCTATTCTTGGACAGCTAACCTTACATGAAGAATTTTGCGCCACTTTAAAATTAACAAACCTCTTGAAAA